AGAGAGAGAGAGAGAGAGAGAGAGAGAGGTTTGGGGTGTTGATGGTTGCAACATTGGGTTGGGGTTGGGGCTAGGGTTGAGGCGACGAGGCACATGTAGACACCACGTCTGGTTTCTAGGCGCCGTGTGACAGCCTCCGAGTGAGCGGCGGGATGTGGCGTCCGCATCTGGGCATCGCGAGCCAAAGAGGGCGCCGCGCGCGACAGGGAGCGAGGCGGCCGCGTCAGTGACGACCGCGTCGAGAAACCCAAAGTCGTCGAGCTTGTTCGCCTTTGCTTCGCCGCAGCAGGAGGGCGCGTTCCAGGAGCTCCACATCCCCTCAGGCGCCAGCAGCGCGAACGAGGCGGCCTCGGCTGCAGCAGCAAACTTTCCGAGCTCGTCCCTCGCGCTGAACCCAGGGCGGGAGGCGGCCGTTGGTGCGTGCAGCGGTGGGACGAGCAGTTCGACGGCACCTGCAGCCGAAGCAGTGCACGAGGACGAGGAGAGGAAGGCGCAGGGCGGAGAGCGTCTGGTGAGCCTCGCCGTCGGCTTTGCCGCCGCCGCACGCGACGCGGGGCAGGAGGTACAAATACTCGCGGTCGAGGCCGCCGTGGCGCAGCGACTGGCGCGACACGCGGCCACAGGTCGGCATGGCGATGCACCTCGCTTTCTTTTTTTGTGACTACCGCCAGAGAGAGAGAGAGAGAGAGAGAGAGGCTACGCGCGGTCTTCCGCGGGGGGAGCTGCGTCGACGGGTGCGGGACCGCGGCGCAGCCAGTGCCGCGGCGAGGCCTCCGGCTGTTTGCGGCGGGCGGCTTGCTGCTCGCTGCGATGGCGAAAAACTCGTCTCGCCACACGCCAAGGGCTTATGCTCTGGCGAGACGTGAGGCGCATGCGCCCAGGAGGGGAGGGGGCATGTGTAACGACACTGCTAGAGATGCCTTTCGGGGCCCAGAGATAAAACTTCTGTGATGCCATGCGTGACCTAGTAGTGTCCCCAGCTATGGGCGTGTCCACGTTGGAGCCAGGTGTGGTGTGGGCGCGAGAATAGCTCCGCCGTTCATGGAGGCAACCGATGCGAGTCGACTGGTGTGTGTCGTCGTGGTTTCGTATCAAGAATTCTCTCTCTCACTACCGCCAGGTGCCGCATTTCACTCATACCGCGTTTCACTCTTTTATCTTGCATGCTGTTACTGGCACTAACACACAAACAAAACATTGCTAAAAACACACAAGGAAAACGAATTTTACGACGAAACTCCCTCTACAACACTTACTCGAGTAGGAAAATTCGCAGTGAGAGAAGATCATGCACCTCACAAAAGGGGCTATATTCGTCAATCTAATACTACGACGATCATACAGCGACTCGACTCTCGAGGCTCACTCAAGCGGTCTGTGCGCCGCCCGCGTGTGTCCTTTCGACACCAACCAATCCTCGCCTTGTGGAAGTGCTGCTTGCTGCTTTCGAAGGAGTGGGCGCTGGGTGCAGTAACGCCTGTGGAGACGGGCCGCCCACAAGCTCAGAGAAGGTCCTCACACAGCGAGAGGTCCTCACACTGCCGATGGTCATCAGACCTCACAAGCAGAGGTCCTTATCGGAAAAGAGGAACCTCGTCCGAGCCGCACCCCCCAGGTGCGGGGCTCTCTTGCCCGCAACCTCCGATCCTCTAATCGTCTGGCCAACTGGGACCGGTCGCCGAGGTTAATGACTGCACTCCAAGTGCTCCAAGTCCGCGCGATAGATATGTGGCGAAGAACACGTCAGGCTCGCTGGGGCCCCGCTACGTCTAAGGCACGATGGGGGGGGGTTGAAGAGAAGAGACTGGGAACTCTGCTGAGAATGAAGATAAATAGAGATACACTTTAGTTCACGCAAGAAGCGCAATAGGGCGGTGTACCAGCATTTCCAAGAATTTGATTCTTAATTTACGACATCGTAGAGAGCTGCCCAGAGCAGTTCGAGAGACCACTCTAGCGATCTGTGCGCCGCCCGCGCGTGTCGTTCGACAACAACTTCCCCGCCGTGGTTGGGAGTGCTGCTCGCTTGCTCTCAGAGAGGGGGGGCGCCAGGCGTAGCTACGCCCTGTGTGGAGACGGGCCAAGCTCAGAGGTCCTCACAGCTAGAGGTCCTCCTCGAGAGCTCCTCACTGCGAAGGTCCTCACCAGGTCCGTCTCCAAACTTGGAAAGCAATTTTCCTCTTTCGTCTTTGCACTCACGCACGTGAAAGCCACCAGGAGGTGCAGTCGAGCCGGAGAGGCTGGCAGGCTGGTGCGTGCGAGCAAGGCATCAAGGGGCAATCATGCCTGACTGAGAGCCTGCGAGGCGCAGGAGGTCCTCGCAACGAAGAGGTCCTCACGAAGAGGTCCTCAATACAATGACGGGAGCTCCCCTCGCGCAGAGGTCCTTGTAGGTCAGGCAAGCCCTGAGCGCGCGGGGCGAGAGAGCCTGCGACATGGTGCAGGGCCAGCCCGGCACGAACCTAAATCGTAGCCCAATGAAATCAGCGTACCGGTTGCGTTCAATCACATCTGGCTATAGATAAACATCACAAACGGATGTGAGGAGGGTGGTGACTGGTGATAAGTGCGTGCCTCAGAGCCAGTCGTTGATTGTGGTGCCTATTGCTCCTGTTTTGATGAATGCAATCGCTCGGTGGGTGGGTGGGTGGGCCAGCCCCCCCCCCCCCCCCTCCACTCTATCTACACACACGCCTTTTTGAGCTTCTGGCACGCCTGCTGCCTGGGGTGGCCCTTACCCCGCGGACCCGTTGGAGGCTGCGAGGCTGCGTCTAGTGCCGGAGGTCGCCATTCTGCGATTCTTGAGCAACCTTCCTGTCCGAGTCGCTGCTGATGGACTTTCTCGCGCCGCTCTGATGCCCTGCTGCGCCACCACCTTCGACCCGCCCTGCTCTACGCGCTCGCAGCCCTCGGAAGCACGGTCGCCTACTGCTTGTGCTTGGCGCTCGTGGTGGACACTGGTATGAGGGAGGGCACCACGTGGGAGCCCGGGGTCTACCCACCTCGAAGCACCGCGATGCTCGTCGCGGTCCACGGGCTCGTGCTCCTCTACTTTTTGCCGGTGATCGGACGCTGGCTCCGGTGGAGCCGGAGCCGCTGGATTGGGGAGGTGCATGCGAAATTGAGGCTGGTCAGGCGCACCCTCACGCCCTGGAGGAGGACAGTCGTCCCGGCGAGCGTCTAAGTCGAGTACGAGTGCCGAAAAGACAGAAAAAACGGCACCGCGCCAAACGAGAGAGGAGGGCACAGCCACAACGCACAAGGGGCCGAGCGTTTTTGATCTCTGCGGGTGAGTGGGCGCCCGCCCCCCGCCTCTGAGGGGGTCGGGCCCCCTAGACTGAAAACAAAAACAAGCTCGAAAACAGCCAAAATCAGCCTGCGAGAGAGGCAGCGCGCGCCGCTGACCTCATGTGGGGATGTGTGCCGACACCAATACTGATCTAAAACCTGGAAACCCTTGTTCAAAGCCGACCCTAAGAGCGCCATCCTTCCTGCTCTCACCTGATGCTGCTTCCCCGCGCCGCCTCCTTGGCCCCCGAGGGCGTAGGTATTTTCTACTCCCAGTACTGTCTCCCAGTGGGGGGGGACTGGGCCCCGGGCCCCCTCTTGTTTTCTGTTTTTCAAAACGCCCGCCCGCCCGCCACCCCGAGGGAGGCGGCTCGGCCCCCACAGCCCACTGCACTCACCCAGAGATCAAAAACGCTCGGCCAGAGGGCCCCCCGCAGTTTCGGCGCGTGAAGCTCGCACGTCGCAGCCCCTCGGCGAAAGGTATTTACAAACAATAACAGCGGCGCCCTCCCCGCCTATCCCCCTCACCCCCCACCCGCCCCGCCATGAAAGCTCCAATATCTCGAGACCACATCAGCTCTCTCGGCATACTCTCGTTTTACCGCGCCCGCGCCCCCAACGCCTCGACCTTCTTGGGCAGCAGCTGCTTCGACAGGTCCTCTCCGTGGCCTAGGCAGCCGCGTTCGCCCTCGCCCCAGGTAAAGACAGCGCTGTCAGCGATGATGGCGATGCTGTGGTAGGCCCCAGCAGAGACAGCGACGGCGCTCTGTCCCGCCAAAGCCTCGACCTTCTTTGGCTGCCACTGGTGCTGCTCGTCGCCGTGGCCCAACTGGCCTTGGCCTCCATAGCCCCAGCTCCAGACAGCGCCGTCAGCGGCGAGGGCGAGGCTGTGAGCCCGTCCAACCGACACAGCGACGACGCGCTGGCCAGTCAAGGCCTCGATCTTCTTGGGCAGCAGCTGGTTCTGCAGGTCGCCGTGGCCCAGCTTGCCTTCGACCCCACTGCCCCAGCTCCAGACGGCGCCATCGGCGGTGAGGGCGAGGCTGTGCGCGCCTCCAGCCGACACAGCGACGACGCGCTGGCCAGCCAACGCTTCGACCTTCTTTGGCTGCCACTGGTGTTGCGCGTCGCCGTGGCCCAGGCTGCGATAGGTTCCACAGCCCCAGCTCCAGACGGCGCCGTCGGCGGTGATGGCGAGGCTGTGGACACCTGCCGACACAGCGACGACGCGCCGCCCCGCAAAGGCCTCGATCTTCTTAGGCTGCCACTGGGGCTGCTGGTCGCCGTGGCCCAGCCTGCCAGAGTATCCACAGCCCCAGCTCCAGACGGAGCCGTCGGCGGTGAGGGCGAGGCTGTGGCCGCCTCCAGCCGACACAGCGACGACGCGCAAGTCAGCCAAGGCCTCGACCTTCTTGGGCAGCCACTGGTCCTGCCGGTCGCCGTGGCCCAACCGGCCGTCGCCTCCACTGCCCCAGCTCCAGACACCGCCGCTGGTGAGGGCGAGGCTGTGCCCACCTCCCGCCGCCACGCTCACGACGCGCTCACCGCCCAGCGTGGACGGGAGGCGGGTAGGCGTGTTCAGCCGCGTCACGCCCTCGCCGTGGCCGAGCAGCGCTGGAAAGATGGACCGCGGATTGCCGCACGACGAGAGCTGCCCCTCGGCGTCGATGAAAACGCTGTGCCGTTCGCTTGCCGCCGCCCTCGCGGGCGGGTTGGACTCGCACAGCAAGGCCGAGTAGCACAGCCACCGCACGGCGCAGCTCTCGCCCTGTGGCTGCGCCGGCAGCTCGAAGCCGCGCTCTTGCGCCCACAAGCGGATGCCCTCCAGCGCAAGCGAGGCGTGGAAGAGCAGCGAGACGGCCGCGACGCGAGCGATGTCGAGGGGGCTGTGGCAGTGAGAGAGGGCACGCACGAGGAGCTCCGTGGGGAGGTCGAGGAGGCGGGCGGGCGGCGGCGTGTCTGGCGAGGGAGCGGCGGTGGCGGCGGAGGCGAGGCGGCGAGAGCGGCGGCGCGGCGGGGTGGACATCGCGAGCAAAAGAATTCACACGGGCCGGCTAAGCAACTCGGACGAGGCAGGCTCCCTAGGGTGGGCGACGGCTAGCGCACCACACACCTCTCCTTAAAATCCCTCCCTTGGGTTGTCTGTTTTCTTTCTTTCTTTCTTTTTCGGACGAGGAAGATTTTTAGTTTCGAGAGAACTAATTTATTCACACACAGCTGCGGCGAGCGTGAGCGGTGACCGGCAGCTGTGACCCTCCAGCCAACCCGACCGACCGAACCCCCCCCCCCCCCCTCCACCAACCGGACCACAGCCCCCAAAAAAGAAGAAAGAAGAAACCAAGG